AGAGAGAAATATTTATAACCCAGGTTCCTGGGAGCAAACTATTTATTTACATTAAATCTGCTTATATACATGTAATATTGTTGCAAATGTGATGTATGAATAAGCTGGCAGTCGTGTACGTGAGGCGAGTGTTGATGTTCTTCCCACACGCGGACAACAAGAAGCAGAGGCAGGGCTAGATGTTAGCACAGAGAGGAATCAGGACAGCCCACGGGACAGAGGTAGAGGCCATGACACAAACTTGGATGCTTATCCCCGAGACATGGAGAGAGAGCGTGCAAGAGCCAGGAGCCGCCTGCCAATGGCCACCCTCTAGCACATCTGCTGCTGACCCCCTGCCAAAACCTGTCCTGTTTACCGGGGTCGTCTATAAAGAGTCCCTGGGGGCCCCACATGGGCTGGGCGTTGGCTTTTTTCCTTCCCTCTGTCCCTGCCACCAGCTGACAGAACACTCTTTGTATCTTTATTTTGACGTCAACATTTTTAGTGTTACATACAAATAGGGGTTTACAGGTATTATCAATAAAGATATAGCATATATACAAAATATGGGGGTGGCAGCGAACAGAAACGGCGTACATTCCAAAAGAAGGGCAGGATATTTGAAGGTATCGGCTTTAACTAATTGGAAGATATGTGACATATACTAAAAGTGTCATACAGTTTAAAATATACAAAATAGATATTTGTATAATTAAAAGAATATATATAAATATAAATATAATTTTCCAGGCAAGAAAATCACCAGAAAAAAAATTAAGTGTTAGGGTAGAAAATATTTAGAAAAAAAAATTACTTCAGCAGAAAAAAAAAAGGGAAATCTGAGTCCACCTCTCGTTATCTTTATTGATTAAAGACACACACACACACACACAAAAGCCTTTATTAAGACACACAGGTCTTACAGAGGATTCTCCTTGGGGTTACAAAACGGAGAAAGTGGGAAATAAAAATGGTGAAAGAATATATACATATGGTAAATATATACAGATTATAAGAAAGAATAAAGAAATAAGAAGAATTAAAAAATAATAATAATAATAATAATAATAAAAAAATTTGGAAATTTATTGATTAAAAACCAGGTGCCTCTTTCTCACAACACACATGAAGTTTTGTCATTTTATTGCCCTATAAAACTATCCATGGCATCAGTTGGGTCCCAAAAGCCAGTCTGTGTCCAGGGTGAAGTCGAGACCTCTGGCCACTAGGAGGGGCTGGAACTTGGTATTGAGGCTCTCTACCAGCGCGGCCTCCTCCTCTCCTGCGGCGGAGAGCATGATGGAGGTCTTTCTAAGATCTGCAGCACGACATTCCAAGAAACATCACCTAAATGAAGGGATTAAACATTACTGAGAAGTGTAAGAATAGACAAAGTACAGTAGAATACAAGACGATACTGTAATAAAATTTCGGGTGAGAATATAGGATGGGTATTAAGATTTATCAGGCTTTTAGATTTAAGTTTCTATACTTAGATTATTCATCATAGCTTCCCGAATTCTAGTGAAATCATTAAAGGGAGAGGAGTTGCATTAAAATCGGAAATTTCGTTAAAATATCAACGAATCTGCTCGGGATTGATCGAAATCATCAAAGAGAAAGGCATCATATGCAAATCGAAAATGTCATAAAAATCTCAATGAATCTGATCAACAGAAAAGGGGTATTGCTTCTCCACTACAACGTCTGCCCACAAATCTCAATAATGAAACAATATGAGCTACCTAAGTTGGGGTGCGAAACTCTTGATCACTCACTTTACTTGAACGATCTCCTGGATACTGGCCACCTTCTTGTTGTAGCACCTCGAACAGATCGTATACGAGAAATTCTCCAAAATCCAATGTGATGTGAAAAGGATACCTTCAATAAAGAATTTGCCTCCCACAAACTCCATATTTGTTTATAATATAAATAAATTTGATTAAATGTGATATATTGCGCTTGAAAAGTGTCTGTTTGAAATCTACCATCACCCTATCACATCATTGGAGAACTCCCCTCTGCCAATCACTATCACACCAGTAGAAAACTGCCCTCTGCTGACCATTCTATCACACTATTAGAGAAATCCCCTCTGTTAATCATACTATCACACCAGTAGAAAACTTCCTTTTGCTGACCATTCTATCACATCATTAGAGAACTCCCCTCTGCCAATCACACTACAACACCACTAGAAAACTTCTTTTTGTTGACCATTCTATCACACTATCAGAGAACTCCCCTCTACCAATCATACTATCACAACACTAGAAAACTGCCCTCTGCTGACCACTCTATCACACCACCAGAGAGCTCCCATACAACCAGAGAGTGTATGTGCATCGACACATGTGAGTAATGCGGCACTCACGGGATAATCCTTCCAGCGCCAGTTCGCACACGTGCTCCAGAAAGGAGACAGGGATGATGGCTGTGAGGGAGAAGTCTAACAGCCGGCTGCAAGATGTCAGCAGCTCTTCTAGAGCCAAGTCTAGGTCGGGGATGTAGTCCATCAGCTCCAGGGTCAGGACTTCTGGACACAGCGGTGGGGCGATTTCTTACTAGATTGCCTTTATAATACTTTGTAGGTAGCTCTAAAACTTTCTCTCTCACACACACAAATGTAGTTATAAGATCTCACACGTCAAGTTATATCTAAAGCAAATGACTCAGTACACACCAATAGTACTGGGGAGGTCTAAGCTCTCACCCATCAAGTTATCTCTAAAGCGAAGCACTCAGTACTAATCTACACACACCCATAGTACTGAGGAGGTCTAAGTTCTCACCCATCAAGTTATCTCTAAAACGGAGCACTCAATACACACCAATAGTCCAGGGAGGTCTAAGTCTTCACCCATCAAGTTATCTCTACGGCGGAGCACTCAGTACCAATCTACACACACCCATAGTACCGAGGAGGTCTAAGCTCCGTCTAGTTATCTCTAAAGCGGAGCACTTAATACACACCAATAGTCCAGGGGAGGTCTAAGTTCTCACCCGTCAAGTTATCACTAAGACGGAGCACTCAGTACTAAAATACACACACACACACCAACAGTACTGAGAAAGTCTCACCCAGGGAGTTGGCGAAGTTCTCCCGCAGGTAGCGGACGTAGTCGATCAGCTCGGCGTTGTCCTCGCCCTCCTCGGACAGGTAGCCGGACCAGTAGTTGAGGGAACGGAGGGGCAGCTCGGGTGGCAGGATTCTCTTCAAGATCACCAGCTCAAATATACCATCTGGACAGAACCGTCCTTTCTTTGAGATGTCGAGAAATTATTCGTCTCATATTTGTTCTCCCAAAGTTCTTTATAAGTTCAATTTTAACATTTTATTTGTTGCATGTGCGCGTTACAAAACATTTGTTATGTTTTCCCATGAAGCTAACCTAAATGGTATCTACCGGTGCAATAATAAAAGTTTCGAGACCGATTCACTAGATAAAGGTATCCATCTATTAAATCGTCAAAGGATCATAATGGTATCTTCCTATGTGATCATTAACGGCTGGGAACAGATTCACTTGATACAGGTATCTTGAGGATGGGAGAGAGAGAGAGGCAGAGGCAGAGCATTCAATGCTAATTTTAAAAAATATAAATGAGAGAATTTCTACAATATTTAAACCCGAAGATGGAAAAGAAACGTGAAAACTTGGCTCATCAGTGATGAACCTCCCAAACAATTTCGCTAATTTAATCCACCAGATCGCTACAACTATTGTGTATGTTCATTCTGCTAATATAGTCTAAGCTTGAAGGTGTATTCTTGTGATCATGGTATTTAACAAAAAATAACGAAAGATACTTCTAAAATTGTAAAAATTTGACAATTACTTCGAGCTTCTTTTGCCTAAATAATAGGAATTAGTCATTCATTTTTTAATGCGTTGAATGCTTCCAGCCTCAACATGCTGAATAGATGTATATATATTGTTTACGTATTTTTCTTAAACAGGATTTTCTATTTGTTGTTTTGCCATTTAGGCGGAATAACTGTGTACTCGAAGAAAACCTATTTATAAATAAATCTTAAATTGTAGATTATGTAAGCAGTATGAGCATACAATAGTTGTAGTGATGTGGTAAATCGGCAAAATAGCTGAGAATGCCTTACTGATGAGCTAAGCGCTTTGCCAAAATTTCATCTTGAGTTCACTATTTGTAGAAATTCGTCATTTATATTTTAAAAAGAAATTGCGTTAAATGATCCCATCCCCAAAAAAGTGTACGCTATTTACACCCATGGAAAAAACTTAAGGAAGTTGTACCTTTTAGCATATATATCGGGATTCAGACAATAACTCAAAAAAATATTTGATACACAGTGAACTTTATTGAAGACACACGAGATAACCAAGTGTGAGCAAAATCGTCTTTGTCACCTTAAAAAAAACAGACAACGGGCGTCATAAAATACATTCCATTTCCTTAAGTTTTATCCACGAGTGTATTAAATGGTCAACGGAGAGAACACTACCTACATAGCGGTATGTACCTATGAAGACCTCGACGGCCAATCCAGGACAAGCCGACCTGAGGTTGGCCCACGACGTCCCCGTTAGTTCAATAGGGAAGAAGTCATGCCTTCTGCACTTGATGGTCAGATGGACCAACTTGGTGCCCAGGCCCAAGCACAGCTTGCTGGAGAGGACGGAATGGTTGAGAGAAACCTTAAGGAGGTTGGAGAAAGTCAGCATTGTCTTCTGGAAGTTCTCATTCCTGCACAGGCTTCCTGTCACTAGGCCGAGCTTCAAAAGTTCAAGATCTACAAACGCTGATGTTCTTGTGTTTGCTATCAGTTTTTTCTTTATCCAACGACTAAGGATAGGAATATTGGTGTAACAATTTTTGAACATTATGATTCATGAGAAATTCAAGCTATTTTTGATGCGTATGTTTCTTTCTGAAATAAAAAAAAAAATCTACTACCCTTTTCTGCGATGATAAAATTCTAATTCATTTACCGAATTATACAAATTTTTGATGCTTTTTATTGATTTATAAAATTTCCCCTTATATAACTGAATGCAATTCAACTAGTCGAACTGTGAAGTTAAGCAATGTCGGGCCCGGTCAGTACTTGGGAGGGTGACCACCTGGGAACACCGGGTGCTGTAGGCTATTACCTTTTTATCCATTCTGGTTAGCAGCCCCGTAAATAAAGATATTTCCTAGTCGAACTGTAAAATCTTAAAAATACTACTACTCACAATACAGTAGAACCTCCAAGAAAAGACATATTCTCTACAGTAGAACCTTCAAGAAAGGAACATATTATTGATGTTTTGGAACCATGTATTTATCGAAGTGGAACAATTAAAATATACAAGTATCAGAGTCATCAATCAACAAATCTGTCACCGTCTGCTTTTGTGAATGGAATAAATACCCTAATATGGCCATTTTTTATAAGCATCGGTGGTTCAGTGGTAGAATGCTCGCCTGCCACGCGGGTTCGATTCCCGGCCGATGCATTTTTTTTTACAATTTTTAAAACTCATTTATATTATTATTAAAATGTATACAAGTATCTGGAAAAACTTATATTGAATATTTCAGGTCTCTATCCCGAATATTCTTCGAGTTATTTGCAAATTTGAGTTGCAAATTTGCTCTTTCACTCGCAAGCAGCGCCTCTAGCGGTGAAGATGGGAGGTAATATCAGCTAACCTAATGTACATGTAAAACGTGTTTTAACAGGACATAGAAAAAAATATGGAAGAGATATTTGTCGCATTTTTAGCCAAGAAAAATTGAAATTGACAGGTTCTGGGCAAAAATAGTTGTTTTTTTTTAGTCAGAAAATGATTATGACAATATTGCTGTATCATATTTGATTATCAGATACAAAATTATATCCGGAAAAATTCCAAAAATCAGAGACCACGGGTGAAGCCAGTTCATTTTTAGTATGCAGGAACAAAATTCTAACAGAAAAACATTCATTCGAGCAGAAGACACAAAGCTAGATCATCTCTTTATAAAAATATCGCTTCTCAGACACAAAGTTTGGAGCGGGACGCACAAGAATGACATCCACGGCGTCAATTTATAATTGTAACGAATAGTATTTGAATAAAAGCATTTAATCGGGTAAAACCCGGGCGTTGCCAGGGTCATTCGGCTAGTCGATATATAAAAAGTATTGAGATATATGTGCGTTTTTTATTACCTCGATTATTTAAAATTAGTTGTACAATTTATTTTGCACGCTAAAACAACAACACATTTCTAGAAATAGGAAAGAGTAAAATGAAAAATTGTGTTTTCAAAATTTTCTTTAAATTATTTCTTTACTAAAAAAATTCTGTTAGAGTTTATCCAGATAGAGTCACTCCTCTTAGGATAACATACAAATTATCGTATTACTGGTTAGGATCCTAAGCGACGACCTTTATAGAATTAAAAATAACTCATCCTCCAACAAGAGATAATTTCCAGGGGAGATAGGAGTATCTCTTCAGTTAGTTAGTCTCTCCCGGGAGGTTCTATAGAAGTGTAAAGGAAGATACGTGCCTATAGATAGGTTGATGGTTATGGAAGAAGTCCTTGAGGTACAGTTCCCGCAGTCTAGGACCGCAAGAATCAGCCAACGCCTCCAGGACCCGTAGTCCATCTTTCACGTTGAAGTCCATCTTGCTCAAATCCACCGTCTCCAGCCGTGTCTGCTGACGTAGGAAACGTCGCGTTCTGTCCACCAGAATCTTCCGGTTGCTGATATTGCGCCAATGGTGGTGAAAAAAAAGTTGCGTCATCTTGAAGGCTTTCAGACGACATTTCTGCTCCGAGAGTCGCTGGAAGAGCTGGCAGAGATGTTTCTGGAACATCTGTCGTCCCTTGAAGTTCACCTTGTGGTAGCTCACTGTCAGGGCTTTGACATACTTCCCAAACCTGCGCATGTAGCAACTATTTTATGGAAGCAAAGAAAATCAATTCTATATACTTCTCTTCATTTCTATTGTAGACTATTAAAAAACCGCTTATTATCCTTAGTGATTATAAGGAAACATTTTACTTGATTGAACAAGGCGTTTCTTAAAAGTTTTCCTCACTCTGTTTTAATAACAGAAATAATCTACACACTGTGTTTTCATCATTATTGATATCATTTAAATGATAGAAATTTTGTCTTTCTGAGATTATCGTATTACTGGTTATCATCCTAAGCGACGACCTTTATAGAATCAAAAATAACTCAATCACCAACAAAATATCATTTCCAGGGAAAACGGGAGTATCTCTTCAGTTAAGTGGTCTCTCACGGGAGGTTCTATAAAAGTGTGATTATCGGTTATCGTTAACCTAACGATAAATACCGTATATTTAAAATTTTCGAACAATATTTTCAAATAGAACGGTTCTGAAATATCAGATTTTTGGTTTACTTTTTTTTTCTAGTCTCAGAAATCCGTGAAATATTGTGGTTAGTGCATACGCGAAGAATCCCTAATCACTAAACTATAGATGCTTACACATAATATTCATAATTTAAGCGTTGGCGAGTGTGTAACTTTAAATGTCATGTTGAGGGTCAGGACGTAAGCTGGAATATTCTTACTCTCCATATAGATAAAAAAAAAAACGCTCTACATAAATACTGTATACTCATAGACAAATCTTAAGGAAGTTTTACCTTTTAGCATGTATATCGGGATTCAGACAATAACTCTGAAAGATATTTGATACACAGTGACCTTTATTGAAGACACACGAGATAACCAGGTATGAACAAAATTGCCTCTGTCTCTTTCAAAAATAAAAATTGAGGACCGGCGACATTAAAGAGTTTCCACTTCTTTAAGTTTTGTCCATGAGTGCACTTTTTACAATTAGCTTTGTGTTAAGATAAAACTATTTATGAGACAAATTTAAACAACCAAATGAATTTGGGATAAAGCTGTTTTTAAATGAATCAATATATATTTTTCATAACGTTCACTCTAAATTTCCATTTGGTATGTTAACGCACGTAGACATTATATATTTTTATTCAAAATAATATACAGTTAGACCTGTCTATAGCGACCCTCTAAATAGCGCCTTCCTCTTTATAGCGCCCGATTTTAAATACGTAGTACGATGCGATTTACATTAAAAGTGACCTGTCTATAGCAACCTATTTTGGTGAGTCCCAAAATGGGGTGCTATAGACAGGTTTAACTGTACTAAAAATGAGTCTTTGTTTAAGCCCCATTGTAAATAGGAATCGTAGCTATGTATATTATGATGAGAAGATGTGATATTTTAAAACGGAAGAAATTGCACGACGAAGAAGGAAATTTGCTCACCTCTCAGCGATCTTTAAAGCTCGACGCTCATCTCTAGAAAACACGCGACCTTGGCACTCGAAGTCGAGGGTATGCCATAGGTCGGGATGATGGAAGGCACAGGACCATTGAGAACACACGCGAGCTGCGGCCACACGATCGTTGTAGCTGAGATAGCTGAAGATGGAACCAAGGAGTTCCTGAGGTAGCCCTGCCCACTGGGCAGAATTACCCAAAGTTAAACCTGGAACATCTAAGTTTTCATAAGTATTTTCAATCGGTTTTTCTGTTTCAGTTTCTTCATGATCTAACCAATCAGTGTATTCATCGTTAAAGGAATCAAATGGTAAAATGGACCAATTGTGAACGGAGTCATTATCAATGCTAATCCAATCATTATCTTCAGTGATATCTTGAGGTATTTCTTGGTCTGAAGGTTCTTCCAGTAGTTGATTCAATGATGGTAGAAATTCTTGCCAAAATGCGGGGTGATCTTCGATAATAGGATTTTGGATGTCTTCATGTTGGGGAGGGCTTTCTTCCCGAGGGGCGGAATCTTCCTGGCCGCTCATGGCGGGCCATGAACAATGGCCATTCCTCTTTGTAACCTTCGGAATCCTAAGTTTCTCAAATATTTGGACCATTAGATGACTCTCTTTTGTCCAAATTAAGTGCTGGCTTATGCACCGAAAGGTCTGGGAGGCCATCTGCTTCTAGAATGTCCAAATTAAGTGATTATTTCGTATTTTTTGGGTTGTCAAATTCTACTTTTTCCTTTTCCTTCTCGCCAAGCGCTCGGAATTCAAGACAATGTTGTTGTCGGACGTTCTCAAAAGAGTGTAGTTATCTTTAATTCAATCCATAAGTCCAGTGATCGTAATTCATCCTATCATTATTATGATATAATATGATAAAAAAGAATACAGTTAAACCTGTCTATAGCGCCCCCTCTTGGGACTCACCAAAATAGGGTGCTATAGAGAGGGGGTGCTATAGACAGGTCACTTTTAATGTAAATCGCATCGTACTACGTATTTAAAATCGGGCGCTATTTAGAGGGGGCGTTATAGACATATTTAACTGTACAATATAATATAATGTGGCTTGTGATTGTAAAACGACATTTTAAAATTATACCGCATGTGTTTCTTTTCAACGAAAAATCGAAATTTATTTTAAGGAGAAATAATGATTATTTCTAACTAGATTTAACTGTACCATTTAAAATAGACTAGCTTGTGAGAAAAAAAATTATCAAAGGGGGAGAATTTCTTGCAAATAATATAATTTAATTGAGATATTATAGATAATTCGAGCCTTGGAGCCTTTTACAGGATTAAGGTTATTTATAAAGGGTTAATGTATGATGTTTGAATATATAGAGGGCGTTATAATTAACCGTACTCCTGTAGAAGGACCCCAAGTGAAAGCTCGAATCAATTATAATTTTTACAAGCCACTCTTCCCTCTCTGGATGGAATTTTTTTTTCTCTCAAATGGTATCATACAAAGGATTATTATTTTTTAAATCGAACTATCTGTAATTAAAAAGGCATATATTGAATCAAAATATAATTTATTTACCAATATTATAGTTGTGGCTGAACGCCAACCTTTTTCAAGGTTTTTACAATATATTTATGGTAACAACAAACTCAGCGCCACCTACCGTCAATAGGTAGGTCAGTCCTCTAATTTGCTGCAACAGACACTAGATGGCGTTTAAGTTTAGCGTTCATTTTGACGAGGGAGGTAATATTTCTACTTACATGTCCTGTTAATTTTAAATATTATTTTATTAGAGGTGTTTCAACTTCTATCGAGAGGCAGTGTGAATGAGACTGGATATTCCTT